AAAGGTGTATCAACAGTATAAACTGGTGATCTTTAAGATATTATGAGATCCTGGGGAGATCTTTTCCGGTGATCAGGTATATAACAATCATGCTGTCGAATTTTGTATGGTATACTGTGAATCAGTGAGGTTAAATGGTTTGTGAAAATGTAAATAGTGTAAATAGGTGTGAATATGTGTTGATAGAAGCGTACCCTACACCACAGTGGGGTTTGATACCCTGTTTGATCATTCCAAAACAAATTCGAACAGTCTCAGTACCACTGCCACCTCCTCAACTGATACGTACAGAACGTCACTTGAGACGTGGTGAACCGTGAGAGAGCACATTTGGGATCTCGATAAGAGTTCTTCTGTATTTCAACCACCCTCAATTTCCCCCCCCCAAATCTCAACCAACTCGATCACATAACCACCCATTTGGCCAACTCTCGATCATTTGGCTTCGATCATTTGCCAAAATTGCGTCCAGATAGATTTCCAACACACGATCGTTCACCGAGATTGGTTCCAGCAGGCTTTTCAGCTCACCTGGCCACAGCATTCAAACCGCCGATCTTCCTTTTGGAAACACCCTGCAATTTTCTATCGTCAATCTACCTCCCCTATAAAATCACACCTCCTTCGCAAGACTCCCTGGAGCAAGTTTTTACTTCATCCCTTACGTTTGGACTCCCGGGGACAGCCTATCCAACTTCCTGTGTTGATCCAACTTGTGTTTCCAAGATTTCTTTTTGTGTTTCAACCCAACAGCGAATCCAGGATTCTTTCTTGGTCAGCCGAGGCACAGTCAATTTAACCGGTGAGCTTAACCATAAACCTCTTGAGTATCAATAACATAAAGGGGAATTGCAACAACTGACCACTTGGAATTTTCCCACATCTTTAGTACAACATTGTATGGTCAATGGCATACTTCGATTTGAACCGGTTACTGTGCACTTGCACTGCTCTAGAGTGCTCTAACGAAACTTTTGAACTAGGAGGCCAGTTTCATACTGGAGTTCTATTTCATCGCACCAACTATCCCTGACATCTCTCCAAGATCGAAGCTTTGGAGGCTCAGTCTGCGCCCCTGCCATCAGGATCAGACCCGAAAATTTCTGGTGTGAAGCGTCAAAGATCTTTGGAAGATGTCCAAGCCGCCCTCACAATCCCTACCCAAACCAACATAAGACCACCTAAATACCCACGCATCGTTACCGCTCAAAAGAATCCACTCCAGAGTAGCCATACCGTTGTAGCGACTTTCAACACGATTCCCTTCAAGAAGCCCGTCACATTTCTACTGGACATACGTTGCGTTCAGGCATTGTTTCATATACTGAACAAATATTTCAATGATCGAAAAAGCATCCGAAGCTGCCGAAGGTCTCTTAAATTTGAAAGGGACAGACTCAAAAAAACCATGCCCAGTGATCGGACGCAGGTGTGGAAAGAACTCCCCCAAAACATCATCAAAGTCATCAAGACTTTTCAACTTGAAACAAATATGATCACATTATTATGTTGTCCTGTGTGCTTCGCACTCCATGGATCCATCGATGCGCAGACCACCGGAACCATTGGCACCATCACATCATGCAACAGTCTCCGAGTCCCTTCCAAAACTTCTAAGGTGCACCGAATTGTATGTAGCGCACCATTATACAAACAGGCGTCTTCAAACAAATCAAATGAACGAATGAAGCCTTGCAAGGTCTTCCAGCACCATCGTTTGATTGAATGGCTAGCAACAATGCTTAACTTTCCTACTTTTGAACAGGCTTTAGAGCTTTCAGTTGTCAGGACAGCTCCAGTCAAAAACACATACTCTGATATCTGGGACGGCAAAACCTGGAAAACTTTCCGAGGTATTGATGGAAAGGTTTATACTAAGCAGCCTGGTAATCTAGTTTTTGGATTGTATAACGACTCCTTCAATCCATTCGGCAAGTCTTCAGCACGTCACCATTCAGCCACTGTCATTCAACTCTTCTGCCTCAGTTTACCTCCTCATCTACGCTACAAGCCCGAGAACACCTATATATACGGGATCATTCCAGGTCCCAAAGACCCTGACTATAATCAATTTCATCACCCGTTCAAACCGTTAGTAACAGAGCTCTGTGACCTCTGGCGTGGTGTTTTTTTCAAGCCGACCTCTCTGAACCCCGATGGTCGCTTAATCCGAGTCGCACTATGGCCTCTGATCGCAGACTTGCCTGCAATGAAGAAGATTGCCGGCTTGTCCTCACCTACATCAACCAACTTTTGTTGTGAATGCTATATAACTTCGCAGGATATCGATCAAGTCAACGTTGCTTTTTATCAAGGACGTACAAAGTCACAATATAAACAGCAATCACAAGCTTGGTTTGATGCTTCATCGGCAGCGGCTCAACAATCGCTAGTCAAAAAGAACGGAGTGCGCGCCACCCCATTCTCTGAGTTACCTTATTGGGATCCGATCAAGTTTACTACCGTTGACATTATGCACTGCATCATGTTAGGCATATTGAAAGACCTTTCATGTACATATCTCCGTATTCCTCTTGCAGCAAAAACCCTCGATGAACAGCAAAAGAAACTCGCTCTTTCAGGTGACCATCAATCAACTTCTGCAGAACTCGTTTGTTTTTTGGCTCCCCAGATAACCTCTCCTGCACCTACTTCGTATGCTTCCTCATTTGGGACTCCATCCATTTCAGACAATCACACTTCAAGCAGTTACAACTCTAGTTCACGAACTCATTACAATCGAGCAGCAAAAGATACCACCAGCCAAATATCTGATGAACAAAGTTATGAGCCTTCCCAAACACAAAGCCGATCTGACACCTCGAATGCCAGTCATAGCACAATTATTGCCACTCATGGCCCCGCCATTACTCCACACAAACTGCAGATAATTTGGTATACAATTCAAAATACCAATATTCCGTCTTGGCTAACCCACCTTCCGCATACCTTTGGAACTGCTAGCTGTGGTACACCTAAGGCCACGGAATGGCATGTCTTATACAGCTTGTATATGGTTATATCAATTCTACCGTATCAATACAACGCCGAAAAAAAATCTGATGCGGCCAATATCTACACTGCGATCAACCTAGTTACTCAGATTGTGAATATTGTGACTTTAAGGATTATCAATGAACAAGATATCAAAACACTCAGGATATTATTAAGGCATGATCGAGAGCATCTCCAAGAAGCTTGGCCCAATATCAAATCCAAGCCCAACTTGCATTACGCTCAACACCTTCCTGATCAAATTTGGCAATTTGGGCCGGCTCCATATACTGCTGCGTGGGCTGGGGAAAGAAACATTGGTAACCTTGTTCAAACTCCCAAAAACTCTCGCTCAGGTGGGTCTGCATTGTTTTGATTTCAGTGCATATAATCTTAATGTTTTAATGTATATTTCTACCACAGGTACTGCGGCGGGGACAATGCTTAAAGCACATACACAAAAAGTCGTTATTCAAACATATTCAGAACAACATGAATCAAGCTGGTCGAAATTACTCTTGGTTTGGATGAACTATCAGGCTCAACCACACCAAAATGGCGTCCTTTCACACCATGTAACAATACACTACCTTTCATTTACAACTTCCTCCAAGAGCTTGGACATGATCAAACTGATCCGCAAACCGCACTCAAAACTACATCATACTGGAAACATACAAACAAAATGTTCTCACCTTTTTCCACTCACAAGGGAAATAGTTGTATTCAACTCCATAATCCGCCACAGTCCTCCTACTTCGAGTATGGTGTCATTCAACATATTCTCCGCCTGAAAAAAGGCCCGACCCCTTTTTTTATAGTCGACTGCTTTTCATTACTTCAAGGACCTGATTGCAATTTGAATCCATATAAATCACTGCCACATCTCAAAGCTGATGTTGTTTATCGCACTCCACTCATCAGGAGATGTTTAGGTCTTAGACAAATTTTTGGCCACTGTGTCGTTGTCAAAAATCCACCTAATACATTTGGCATCTCTCAGCACACCAACATTGTAGTTGGCTTGAGGAGTATGGTTAGTTTAATTCTGCTCAAGTATTTATTCATGTAGCAAATATGGCTCTGACCCTTTCTCACAATTATTGATCTAGGCATTGATTGACATGTCATCAAGCTATGAAGACCGTGATGAATAGTTCCATCTCATGTTATGAACACCGATATATACTTTCACGCAGACTCCCTCAGCTTTGATTCCAATCAATAGATAACCATTTTTGATATATGTATCCGAAGAACTCCAGTGTGTTCTTTGGGGAACAGGAGGAATTCAAGCTTTGAAAGTGAGTGAAATATTGAATAAATAATCGATATTGAATAAACGATATAATTAGTCTTTGTATATACATCTATTATACCACTTGATCATGCTTACAGCACAGGACACAAGACATGATTGAAACAAACTCAGTATATTGATAAGTATTCATCAAAAATCGAACAAAAATAAGGTCCTCATGTAGTATATATAAACACTGAGCATTTCCGCACACAAACTGAGATATAAATGATCTATAAATGTCCAAAGTGCCCACATTAATCTACGGTTGGGCAATTACAATTTGTTCAATTCGGTTGGCCAAACTGTTAAGAAGCTCTGAAGGTGGTTGACTTTTGAGCTTGATCTTTTTATCATCATCGAGACTATCATACCACACTGGATCGTAGCAGTTTTGAGGAAGGCCGCAGCAAACCGCTGCTTTCGGATTAATATCCGAAGTGTCCACACGACACTGATCAAAACGTCGACTGGCTAATAGGATTCCATCCAATTGTGCTTTTTACTCGTATGAAAGACGGTCGACGCGATGCAAGAGGGATGCATACTGTTGACTTCGCCAAACCAGACCGACTTTCTTATGTTTGGTTTGGTCTGGTTCCCACTCAGTCTCGGAACAGCAATCGGCATCTGGGATCAATTTTAATGACTCTTGACCCAGATGACGTTCAAAAGAATCGTGACGATACTTGAATAGCTATTGGTGAGAATTGATCAGATGCATCCAAATCAACATGCTATCGTAAATTTTGCATCTCAGAAAAACTCACCTGTCGCTTCTTCTTGTTATTCTCAATGACCCGAAGTTTTTCAGGTGCGTTCCGTCCTGATCGAATGTCCGAAGCTTTTCCACGAATCCAGCGCATCAATATCCCTTCGAGTTTTGTGTGAGTTATGTGTGATGGATTGATTGGTAGGTTTCCAAAATCACCCCTCTCTTTGGCGTGTATCCAGTGCTTGATAACAAAACTTGTCATCACTTGATTCCAGCGACAGCCTTCTTTCAGGCTCCAGTCGAAGGTCGCCCGTTGCATACCGTATTGTTGAAGATCAGCCAGGAAAACCATCTTTTGTCTGGCTGAATTATCGGTGAGTGAACTCAAAACGGCAGGTTCCAAAACAAAAATACGCTGGTCTGACATCGTGGCTTCCTGAGTGAGATATTGTAGTTGGAGGCGTTCTTCACATGTATGTTCAAGAGGGTATGATTTGTGTATGTTATTGTATTCTAACAGCATTCTAGTAAATTTAGCCAATGGCCGACAGATTTGAGAGTTAGACTTTGGAAGAGAGCTTGCTACTAAAGCATTGTTAGCCTTGAGTGATTTAACCACAGCCCCATGCTTCCAGTTGCGCACTTGATGCGTTTTGTGAGCGAAAGAAGTAGAGTTGGAATCAAGATACGAAGGCATGGTTTTTTTATGAATATGATGAAAAAGAGAGATACAAGTTTACAACCATCAAGCTGGTTATATCTTGAAATGTGAATAGATGATTTGAATCTCTCGACTCCTTCTTCATTCTGAGATGTGTTTTTGCCATCATTCTCTCAGAATCGCTCCTTGAAGATGAACATGGGAACAAGGACGATGGCGGTCAACCGAATTTTCAGTTGATTGAGCAAAGGGGCCTATGTTTGTACGCTACCTACACCTACGAGTCACCAGATAAAGGCGTGTTGTACATGTACAAAGGCATGATACATGATTGCCCAGGCAAGATGCTTAGACAGGATCGAAGGACAAGAGAAAATCTTTCAAAAAAGATTCAAAAAACTTCGTGTTCTCACATCGACGTGAAACTTCGAAACAGACATGGTGAAGAGGCCGCGTGGCAACTAGTGATACCCAAGCTCTTTGCAGCGTTCATGCCCTGTAGAAAAGAGACATATCAATGGGGTCATCCCACCCTATGGAACCACGACTGGAACCAGCCGTGTCGATGCCGTGAGTGGCAGAAGGAAGAAATACTTGTGGACGCTATTGATCTCACAGGTAAGATATTTTACACATATCAATTGAATCTAATTGATAGCTACCAATCAGTGCTTTGCATATTAATGGAACAATTGATTTTAAGGTTGACTTTAACTGAAATGATCATTTGTAAATGTACTCCCGACATCGTACGTCTTGTTCGGATGGGATACATTGGAGGAACCCCAACCCGACCTTGTACAGCTTTCTCGTGTCAAATGTTACGATTCCATCACACGTTATGGAAGTATTCCAGTGTACGGTTGACCCCATTTGTGGAGGCGCTTGACGAGTTCCTAGATGCGTGTAACACACTGCTTTTGGTTCGAGACAGTGATCAGGTAAGATTCGATTTTGTGGAACTCTTAAGAACATCTAATAGTATTTGCGACTAAATTGTTTGATGAATTGGTAGGCTCGCGACTGGCGAAAAAGGTTCTCTGCAGCTGTTGATGCTTACAGAGAGATGATCCGACTAGAAGAAGGCCTTGCCACTCGAGCCCTTCAATTATCACCGATTGAAGAACTCGCCTCGAATTGCCCCAGTTGTTTTGGGCCTACGGTGCCAGGAACTCGAGAAGACGAACCACATCATTACATATGTTTAGATGCAAATTTCCAGCAGTGTTGTCACCTATCTGCAAGTGCTTCATGGCGAGGTGAAACCGGTGTGTTACCTTCTTTATTCATCTCACCAGCAGAAGTTGCCGTATGGAAAGAAAAGATGGATCCTCCGACTAGACAGCCCAATCAACCTAATCAACGAGTTGAAGATGTTATTGTGAGTCCTGATCTTTGCATACATACACTTTTATAACATATATTCATCTTCGATTCAACTTTAGGACCCTTGCAGCAGCAGCCATACTGCTGCCAACGATACGCGGGGACACCAAACATGGCGTGGGTGTGATGAAACCGGGTTGATGGGGATGGCGTGTCGTCACGATCACCTCCTCAAATTTATCAACTTGGTACAGTCGGGAGAACGGTTAAGTCCAGATATCCAGCTTTCCTTTTTTATCTATGCTGATACAGTCATTGCTTTAGGGGATACTATCCTGTGGCAATGTTGGACTGGATACTCCGCAAAACCACGAGGCCTAACCAAGAAGCTCCAAGGTTTGGTATCTTGTACGATATAGGATGCAACATGGAAAAGAGTATCATCAAGGTACGTGAATGAATCTCGACCAGAATGAAACCAGTTGACATTTGATTGACCAAGTATGTACCATTGAAAAAATACAGCGTAATCTATTTGAAAATGAAAGAGCAGCTGGGAAACTAAAGTTTGGAACCAGTGTGTTCCATTCTTATGTTCATCAGTGGGCTTGCCAACTGAAATACAATCCCAGGCTGAATGAAGGCTGGGGTCTTTCGGATGGTGAGGGTTTGGAGCGGATTTGGTCTGACCTTTCCTCACTAGTATCAGGTCTGAGGTATTCTACTAAAACACACCGGCTTTGCGCATTGCAACTTTGAGCCCGCCACACTAATATTATGAAACGAAAGAACTCTGGTATGATTTTCATTGCTGATTTCAATAAAATTTAAAACTGTTTAGAAGGGCTGTGTCTTATATTGAATCCAACATGCATGGTTCAATGGTTGGTCAAAAGACTAAAAACGAGCGACAAACTACATTGTGAAAGTCAAACAAAGTTGAGTCTATTGAGGAACAAAAACGCGACATACACCGAAGAGTATCTGAAAACGCAATGGAACCGTCAACGCGAATCTCAATTAAGAGCAATCAATGAAGACTCACAATCTTTGGTCAACATGCTGTCTCGCTTGGTTGATCTGGAAGAAGACCTTCAAAAGGCCGAGTTAAGCGGCAGTCATAATAGAACCACATTTGAAACTACTTACTGACGACAGCTTCTTCTGGATTTTCAGGAACGAACTTCAAAAAATTCGTGCAAAACAGCATCGTAATCGTACAGCCTCGGAGAAACGAAAATTAACTCATCTGCCTGTGACTGTACAGATCATCGAAGAAGAGATAAATGAACTGGCAGGAGAGCTTGGTGGGGAACATTATCGAGACATAACTGGCGCAAGAAGTACTGTTTGCTCTCTCATTATCCCACAATTGAACAAAACTCAAAATGAAAGATGTCTTCATTGCAGCTCCAAAGGGGCGTAGGCGAATCAGAATGCGAGTGGGGAAGTCTAAGCTGTATGGTGCTATGGTGGACGTATATGAAATGCAAATTAGGAATGATGAACGCACAGGTACATATATTTCAAAGTTGTAATCAATCATCGCATCTTATGATGCTCATCATCGTTTATCTACCCAATAGGAACTCGAATGCAACAAAGAACTAAAAAGCTATTGAGAGATAAACAAGCCGCTTTGAAAACAAAATACACTACATACAAGAACAATGTTGATAAATTCAATGCTGAATTTCCTTCCCGACAACCAATCCCATGCCCACCCTTTGAAGATATAAAAAATATGTCATTGGCGGACCCGTTTTGGGACATTGGTCAGCTGACTCATCCTAATGAACCTTGGGCCGTGGATCGAGATACACGGGATGGCATTCGGGCGTACCTAGACATGACGCATGCACATGATGAAGTTCGTCGTGTTGGGCGAGAGCTTAGGCAGTCGATCAACTGGGCATTACAAATGCAAGAGAAGCTGTCAATTTTGGAAACCGCCCTAACACTCAATGGTGAGTTTGATCAATCAGGTCTATATCATATGTATTAGTAAACAAAATCTCACTTCTTACGATCCTACCAGATGACGACCCAACCACAATTGCCAACCAATGGATCGTTGAGGTAGCTGGGTTGCCAACAATGCCCATACCTGATCGTTTGGAAAAGAGTAAATCTGTCCTAAAGGCTCTGTATGGCCGTCTTAGTCAGGAGCACACCAGATTGTGGATGGTATGGAACTGGAAGATGACTGACCTACTAATCAAGACAAAGACTTACAGTGCCCTGTCTGAAGAAGATGAGTTATCCTTTAGGATGCGTTGGACAGCTTTGGTGGCAGGAAGTAGACAAACGTGGCAACAACCTATGCGAGCCGAAATTGTTGAAGCTACTCCGCTAGATGATGATGAAGAAGCTGAACTTGAATTAGACCTATATGAAGTCAACGAAGGTGATTTTGATGGGGTTGAGGAAGATGAGATAGATATTGATCCAAATTAAGTCGGAATCACTGATCTTGAAGTCGAGAAATGATTTGGTTGTGTCCGAGAGATTGGATATGTTGGTTTAAAGGTAGTCGGATGCTGTTGAGTCAGGATTTATATTGTATCGTATAGCGGATTTGAGGTTTGATGTTTTAGATTGGGTTGTATTGTGATTGGTTTGTTTGGGTCTTGTGAGGTTCGCACTTGAATCTGTGATACAATTCATTTCCAGGTCTCCGATCTGCTCCGATTGAATTCGAATTTGTGTTGAATAAGTTCCGTATACGGAACCAGGCTTCTCAAGCTACTGGAGGAGGACCTTACGGACCGGAGAATTATGGACCGGCAAGGGGGGAGTATCAACAGAAGCCTTTTAGAGATGGGCCGTTGATGTGTTACTATTGTGCTCGGGAAGGACACGGGCATAATAGGTGTCCTGATAAGCAGCGGGACATAAATGATGGTTATGTCACGGAGCATAACAACACTTATGTGCTCTCGAATGGTTGTAGAGAACCAATCAAGGCACGTATTGGTGCAGTGTCCACTAGCGGCATATCACTAGGTGACATGTGTTACACATGTCACGAGTATCAGTACGAGTTCGACGGTTGGAAATTTATAGAAAATTTCCCACCTTCGTAAGATACTCTTCTGTAGTTATTCCTCAAAGCTCTCGATTCAAGCTCTTTAAGACTTGATTTAGATCTTTTAGAATTCTAGATTAGAATTAATTTTTTGATTACAAAACAAAACCAGAAATTAAAGAAAGTTTGAAGAACAGATCATTCGCGAAATCAAAAAGAAAGATGTCCTTCCAAGCTCAATTAGATCAGACAAACGATCAATTAAATCAAGATCAAAATCAACCAAATCCTGGCCAAGAAGGCCAAAATCCAACGGTAGAAAATGCTAATCAACGAAATCAAGATACAATGAATCAAATAGAAGATCGAGTATTAACGAGAGCTGAGGCAGCGGCGAAAGGAGGTAGACCGAGCTCTAGACTCATAACTCCTAAACAAGGCGCAAACGGGAGGAACACCAACAGGATTAGCACCGGATCTAACCATACCCCGAGGAGCCTTCGAGGAAGTGGTATTCAGAAGAAAAGTCAAAGGCCGGCTGGAATTAAGAAAACAAAAGGAATCAGACAGCAACAAAAGAAGAAGAAGAACGACGTCAGAAAAGGTGGAAAGGAATTAGGTCCATTAGAAGAGATTCATTCAGAACAACAGGAGACAGAAGAGTGGGGAGGTATAGAAGAAGGTTTGATGGGCATGGAGGGAGAGGAAATAGGGGGTAAGGAAGTGACTCAACAAGGTGAGCGTTACATTTTGATTTTCCAATGTCAATTCCTCTTCTTCCCGGTAAGAAGACCTTCGCTATTTTCACTCTCAAATCCACCAACATTCAGTCAAATACAATCTCTTTATCGATTTGTCCACCGTCAATTTCCTCTGTGAATCTATTTCCTTTACAAAACATCCACCATCTATTTCTTCTTTGAAGCTATTTCCTTTATGAAGTCTTAGATCCAAAACCCTCTAGTTCAACTGAGGTCGTCTAAGATGAATCCTTGCAGAGGAAAGGCAGGATGTTAGTAGAAAGACCTGATCATAGGTAAAGAGAAATTATAGATGAAATCATAACGCATACCGCAGATATCGGAACAAATGCTTATAATAAACAGGAAAATTACCCTTGAATTGCTTTCTTCTGATAATAGAATAAAACGAAAGGACGTTTAAGATCAAGAAAGCCTGGCCCGGCTAAGAATAGGAGCCCAGCCTGGCCCAGCTAACAGTAGGTGTCCCAGCAAGGGTCCGGCTTAAAATAGGTCCCCAGCCTGGTCTGGCTTATAATAAGAACCCAGCTAGCCCAGCTTACAATAGGTGCCGTACCTAGAAGAGGATATATTATTACCTCAGGTGATAAAGTCTCGAACAGACAATTGGTCGAGTCACTAGATTGTTCGACTATACAGAGCCCCGAGAGTCTATGGTGGCGGTCGCGATCCAATATAAGAGACAAGGAGATGAAACAAAACTTCGGAATAAGACTGACGAGCGGATGAAATCTTATCCATTCGGTTGGAAATAAACAGACTCACGGCGCCAAATCTTGGGGAACTTAATCCAAGAAGCCTATGATCGAGGAGACGATGCAGAGGCAACGTCCTTGTTGAAGATTTTAAACAAAGATGACCGCGGCCATGCTACGAGGAATCAGTATGTCATGGACGAGGATGACTCGGTTAGCGACAAGTCAGTTTCGGTAGCCTTTGTTAGAGAAGTAAGACCGGTGAATGATCAAAAAGTCGAAATACCAGTAAATACGGAAAAAACTACGGACAATCAGATTCCTGTCAAAGATTCGAACATATCAGTTCCCAAGACGCAACCAGAACCAACTTCAACTCAGGAAAAGGCGGATTGGTTTGAAGGAGCATCGTCTAAGGAGGAATCAGACAAAGCCATAGCGATGTTAGCGTTGAAAAAAGGATCCATGGAATTGGCAAATGGTGACGTTATTCACAACGGTCGGATTTTAAGGGGCGGAAATGCTCAGATGACTCAGTCCTTAGCCCCATTATCACCGGGCTTGACGATTATACTCAAGGGACTCACGTCATATATTCAGTTAACAGTATTTGACGAAGAATGGTTGATAAGAGACCAAAAAGCTTGGTCTACGAGAACTCCTAAGTCAGACAAAAAGGAATCAGGAGAGGCTAGAATTTATGGAGGTGAAGCACCGGTAGAAGAACTCACCATAGACTATGAGGTGTGGGGTGACTGCATAGAGTTATTTTGTACCCATTTAACGGCATGCGGATGGAAGCCTGTCGCAGACAAGTTCGAAAGCCATATCAATGTCGTAAAGAAGATTCGAAAAGATTTCGGATGGATGGTGGCCTTAAGGTATTGTCGATTAGTGAGATTAGGGGTCATGCGCAAAACGGTAGACAAGTCGGTCGGAAACTACGCGGAGCTGCAAGAAGCATTGTTAGTGGAAGCGAAGACTACGGCGGAAAGTTTCAACGAACGACACTATAAAACCAACCCCTACGCACCAGGTCGTCCGAAAGCGCATATATGCCCCTTAACCAACAAGACGAAGTCATTAACATATGCAAAAGAGACATCCAGACCTACCGAGAATCGTCACGCCAACACAAGCAATTACAAAGGGAACGGAAGACGTGGTAGAGGTGGCGGAAGTTATTATGGACGTCAAGATGACGGTAGAAACTGGAGAAGAGAGGATCGTTACGGAAGTGACAGGTTAACAAACCAAAGAAACAGGAGCAGAAGCCCAGATCTCCGAGATAAAGATGGCAAGCCTGTAAAAGGGAAAAGAGCGTGAGCCATATGGAAGGCCTAATTTTTGTAACCCGTGAAAAAGAAATGTCAAAAGACATGATCCGTACCCGTGCAAATAACTGACATAAGTTCAATTTTTGCATCACTCCGTGCCAATTGCCTGGGTTCCCCAATGAACCGAATTGCCCTAAGTAAACTTGATCCTGATTCAACACCTAGTCCCGATGTTCCACCAGAACAAGACTCAGTAAGAGGAAAGGGCAGAGTTTGGCCCAGTCGTCCATCGTGCGAAATGAACTTAACAGTTTGGAAGTCTGAGCTAAGGAAATACGGAATAGACGTAAAGTACAAACATATAATAAAAGGCTTCGAGAAAGGTTTTAGCCAAGGCATCGAAAACGCGGTGGTGAAAGGGATGCGCTATTATTGTCCAGAGAATCATAAATCAGCCCTCAATGCCAAGGAGAAGATCGAGGAAAATATAAAGAACGAGATTGAAAGAGGAAGGATGTTTGGTCCGTGGACGAAAGAAGAAGCGTACCAGAGATTCGGATTTTTTCGAACGAACCCGTTGGGAGCCGTAGTAAATGGAGATGGCTCGTTCAGGCCAATCAACAACTTGTCTTATCCAAAAAACGACCCAGACATAGAGTCAGTAAATTTCCGCGTAGACAAGGACGATTTCGAAACGTCGTGGGATGATTTTAAAAAGGTCGCTTACTTTATTACCTGGTATAAAGGAAGGTTGGTATTAGGGGTGTTTGACTGGGCCAAAGCTTACCGGCAGATACCGGTAGCAATGGACCAATGGTGTTTCTTAATGGTTCTAGGCTTTAACAATTGGGTCTATGTCGATACCAGGGTGCAGTTCGGAGGAGTAGGAGGTTGTGGTACGTTCGGCGAGGCTGCAGAAGCTTGGAGAGAAGTCATGATGCGAAAATTTGAGTTGCTAGAGAGTTTTAGGTGGGTCGACGACACCCTTTTCATAAAACCTGCAGACGGATCAAATAGAACAACGATGAAGGAATTAGCAGAGGCAAGTCAAAAAATGGGGGTTGAAACAAATGAAAAGAAATGGAGGGAATTCGATGTGGAACAGAAATATTTAGGTTTTATTTGGAACGGAGAAAATAAAACGGTCAGGTTGCCAGAAGAGAAGATCAATTTGAGAATAGATCAGATTGAAGAATACATATGTGAAAGGCAGCAATCCTTCAAGAAAACAGAAGTCTTAGTCGGGAGATTGAACCATATAACGTTCGCATTTCCTCAGATGCAAGTTTACACCTCAGCTACTTATAGAATGCTGAAGACATGGGGGAATAAATTCGCACTACGACCGATTTCAGAAGAAGTCCGAGAAGATATGGAAGTCTGGTTGCAAACGTTGAGGAAAGCAGACCCCTTAAGAGTAATCCCAAAGCCAGAAGTCAAGAATGTTGGTTGGGTTGGTGACACATCAACTTCATACGGCATAGGGATAATAGTAGGAAGAAAATGGTCCCAGTTCAAATTAAGACCTACTTGGAAGGAACCAGAAAAGAACGGCGATAAGAGAGGAATTGCCTGGGCCGAAACGGTGGCAATCAGGTTAGGTATGTTGATGATTGAAAGTCTGACAACAGTAGAAGGGAGAAATTTTCTGGTGCTTACCGATAATACGGTGACCGAGAACGCTGTAATAAACGGGAAGTCAAAAGACCCTCTTGTGAACGCCGAATGGAAAAGGATCCAAGAAAGACTGATTGATAAACAGTATGCGATTACGGCAAAAATAGTAGTGTCGGCGGATAATGCGGCGGACACATTTTCAAGAGGAAAGGCTACTAAGAAATTGAAGGAGAACAAGATAACGATCTTATTACCCAAAGATTTAGAAGCCTTTCTGATCCAGATGTAGTTAACCAAATTCCCTGTGACAAAATGATGTATTGAGTCGTCAATAAACTAATTGTTGAAATGACACCTTGAGTTTCCTGAGATGTAGACACGTTTCCGTAAAAGAGAGACTACCACATTGTGGTAATATGGGTACAGCTCTAATCTGTGAGGAAAAAGATAGACTTACAAAGGAGGTAAGTCCCGACGAAGGAGGGATTCGAAGGTGATGTGGGGATTTACCCAAATCGGAACGCATAGCAAGTCGGCTTTCAAAGGTCAACCAAGTAGAACCACTCCAAATGCCTCGTTCGGTGAGTGCAAGAAGATTACACCAACCTTCGCGACCGTATGACGCACCAGGGCACTTTAGACGAGCTGCAAAGAAGGCTACGAAACCAGGAGCCCATTTAGCAGTCGGTAGCTGGGCTCGAACAACTCTCTCAGGGTACTCTTCCGGTTTATCAAAATTCATCGCATACGTTGAGTCGACAGGAAATGAGTTCGACGAAAAGAAACCGATTAGCAATAAAGAAATATACAGTTTCATAACGTGGGCTGGCAGAACTAAAGTTGACATACCAAATCCTCCAAAGAAGCCGATAACTGCGAAAACGATCGACAAGTACTTAGATGGAATCAACGCTTGGCACATCGTCAAACATTTAAGGAAAATCCAGATCAATACCGAGATAGTGAAGATGCTGTTGAGAGCTACGAGAAGAGAAGAGGAGGGTGAAGTCCTAGAATCGAGTAAAAAGCCGGTCACGGTTCAGCAACTGTATCAACTACTTTCCGAGTCACACGGGAAATCTGTAGTACGGACCTTGGTAGCAGATGTAGGGTTAGTGGCGTTTTGGGGGATGATGAGGTTAGGCAAAATCTTCAGATTAACTAAGAAGGAAGGAGCGTTATTGAACCACCATGTCGAATTCGGTCGATCGGAAAAGGGAGATTGGGCGAAACTTCATCTGAGGAAAGGGAAGACCGTGTCTCCGAATGAAATAAAAGTCGTACACCTCCAAGCTCAACCTTCCGTTCTAGACCCGGTGAAAGCTCTGAAACGAATAATGTTAGCGAACCCAGAGAAGGGAAGAGAAAGCTTGCTATTTCAGACGACAGAAGGTATCCTTTTGAAGAAGACATTCATCAAGGAGGTGGAAAAGGTTTGGGGACGTTCTTCGTTGGAAAAGTGGTCAGGGCATTCGTTCCGAGTGGGAGGTGCTTCGTTAAGGTCAAACTTAGGATCTTCGGAGAAAACC